CGCCGCCCGGAGGGGGAATGGGAACGGTGGGGGTTCGGTTCTGGTCCAGCGCTGCAAGGAGCAGAATGGAGCTCTGGGGGGAGGATTTTGATCCAGCATGTGCTGCCCATGTTCATATTTTCTAACTATACCAGTCCTAAACAAACTATACGTGCACTGCTCCTGTTCTGCATCATAGCAGTGCTTGTCAGAGGGGGATGGGCCGCCCGGAGGGGGAATGGGAACGGTGGGGGTTCGGTTCTGGTCCAGCGCTGCAAGGAGCAGAATGGAGCTCTGGGGGGAGGATTTTGATCCAGCATGTGCTGCCCATGTTCATATTTTCTAACTATACCAGTCCTAAACAAACTATACGTGCACTGCTCCTGTTCTGCATCATAGCAGTGCTTGTCAGAGGGGGATGGATTCTGGTCCAGCACTGGGTGAGCTGTATGGGGGAAGCATTGATCAGGCAGGGTGGGAGTTCTGGTTCAGCACTAGGGTGGTGGATCCAGCTGGGGGAGGGCACTGGATCCATCACCAATTTCAGCAAGGAGGGATGGAATGGCCTAGTGGGTGGATTGGTCTAGCACTGGCTGTGTAGGCTGAAGAATGCCACGGGAGGAAGGATTTGGTCCAGGACCCGAATGGAGCTTGAGATAGTGAGGTCTGGCAGTGCTGTCAGCTTCTCCCGGCATCTCACGCACCACAGTGGGGATGGATGTAGCTCCTAACTTCCTCAAATAGACACACCAGAACATGTGCAGAGAACCCGCATATTGAGGCATCAGCCCTCTGTAGAGACAAATCCACAGATATGAACAGATACATAAATGCAGAGACTCTCCACTGCCCCTATGGATGAGACAGATAGACATCTTCCCTACCCCAATACAGATGGACAGAATGGACTCAATCACATAGCTGGAGCTTTGTGACTAGATGGAGCCAAGCTTGTTGATTGAGCTGTAGTATACTGTGGGGCATGGGTCCTGCTTCTCACCTGGCAGATGCAAGACTTTGTGAACTCTCCCAGCATCCCCTTTGTGTGTTGGCCAGATGGAGATGTGCTATGATGAATGTGCCCAGATGCAAGTACCTTCTTGCCCTAATGATGCTGATTTCTCTTCCTTGACAACTTTTTGTTAAAACAGCAGTTTCAGTGATGAGCCAGAGCTGATGCCAAAAACACCATCCCAGAAAAATCGTGTGAAGAGGCGACTTTCTAATGCTCCGGATGAGAACAAAGACCCAATCAGGAAAAGGTGAGAAGGGCTGTATCTGCAGCTGTTAATGCAGACTTTCCTGATTTTCCTGCTGCCTCCCTCCTCTACCCATCCATCCCCTCTGCCTCCCCCGGAATCTATCATCCCCACTGCTTCTCCATACCTCTCATTGTCCTGAACTCCTGGGCTCACCATGCTCTTTGCCTCACCATAACACCTGGTGAGGCTGGCCATTCTGAAGCCCAGAGCGGGAGCCACATGGATAGAGTGAGGAGGGATGGGCTGAATCCCAGAGCCCACTACCAGAAAAGGGGATGGTGTTTGTGAGAAAAAAGCCTGTCCCTGTGGGAAAGAGAGTGAAGCTTGCTCTAGAGATGTGACTTGTTGACTACCCAATAAGAAAATGCTTATTGGGTAGTCAAGTAGGAACTCGACTAGTTGCTTCCCTGCTCCTCCCCCCAGCTGCCTCTATCAGAAAAAGGCAGCAAGGAGGGGAACACCATCTCCATGGGGGCAAGGGAGGAAGAGGGCAGCGGTGAAACAGTGCAAGCAGGGATTGAAACAGTCCCCGCTTGCACTGGTCCCAACTGCTGCTCCTCTCCCTTTGAAATGTACAGGAGCCCAGAGCTACTCTTATACATTTCAAAGGGGGAGGCATTATTGATTAATTGAGTAGTCAATAAAAAGTCCATCAACTGTTCGATTAGCTGATTAATCAAAATTTAACATCCCTAGCTTGCTCCCTGACTCTTGGGCCAGTGGGGTTGCAGCCCACCCCCAGAGGCTAAATCAGCGGATGGTGGATGTAAAGCCTAGTCCTAGAGTCGCATGACTGACTGTGGGTACAGCAGAGAAGGGCTGCTCTTTCCCCCCCCCACCCCTTTCCCCATCTCCTCAAGAGACTCTTATGGATTCAGGAAGTCCCCCTGGTGGCTGCATTTGAGAAACACTGCTCTGAACTTCAACACTAAACTGCACAGAAACTGTGCTGCCCATGTTCATATTTTCTAACTATACCAGTCCTAAACAAACTATACGTGCACTGCTCCTGTTCTGCATCATAGCAGTGCTTGTCAGACTTAATGGAGTTGCACAAAGGGCATCTAAGATGCTGTGACAATTACAAAAAATAAATAACTAAATCTCAGAATTGGTGCCAAGCAACCGATCTTAACTACAGTAACTCCTCACTTAACATCCCGGTTAACATTGTTATATTGCTTATCTACTAGAGCACATGCTTGTTTAAGGTTGTGTTTGCTCTCTTATAAGTCACTTGGCTGCCTACTTTGTCCGCTGCCTTCTGGGATTTGGAACCAGAATAGGCTGGCAGCCCCATCTCCATAAAGCAGGATATCACAGCTATAGAGTCTTGTGCCTAGACTTCCTGGTCTACTTACTAGGGCAGTATACTTGTGGTAGGGCCAACATACTTAAAGGGGCATTGCAGCTCTCTCTCTCTCTCTGGAGGAGAGCGTGGTGCACTCCAGAGGGATAGTGTAGAGTAGGAGGATACATTAATAATGTGTAATAATTATTGAGGACTCAGCCAAGTGGTATTTCATCATTTAGTAGCAAGATGTTCCGTGGGAAATTCTCAATCTTCTGACTCCACCCCCTCACAAGGCTTCATAATCATTACTGTTGTGTATAGAATTAAATGGTCTAAAACGTATATTGTCTATACATATTCTGCCTTTTGTCTGTTGAAAAAATATTCCATTGAATCTCATATTAATTCTTATGAGGAAATTGGATTCACTTACCATTGTTTCTCTTAAAGTAATTTTTTCAGGAACATAACTGTTTGGGACTGTAGACTCTGAATGTACAAGATTCTGGGGGAGAGAAAATAACCAGTGTATTTTAGAAACCCCTAAAAATACCTGAGATGATAATTAACTGAACTTGGCAGCTGAGTGACGTTGGGATGTAAGTGACTAGTCGACTATCCGATAAGCAAAAAGCTTATCGGATAGTCGACTAGCAGCTTCCTCCCCTTGCTGCCTGTGTCACAAAGAGGCAGCAAGGGGAAGGAAGAAGAGGTGCTGGGGGGAGCTGATTTTTATGTCGGTTTCCTCCAGCTCTGTGGGAGGGGACAGGGCTGCAGCAGAGGTATTCCAACTTTGAGATATACAAGAGTCCCCACTGGGGCTCTTGTACATTTCGAAGTGGAAGTGCCCATGTGGAGCCCAGGGTCAGCAGGACTCCCGCTGGCCTCAGGCTCCATGCAGAGTTTCAATCGTTTAAAGGTGGAATGCCACGCTAGTCCTTATCAACTAATCAAAATTTAACATCCTTAGTTTAACATCAGCTTTCTCACTCTTCACAAGGCATTCCTAGCTCATGCTTTAGGAGACCCATCTGATCATACTGAGAGGGTCATTGTAGATCTGGTTTATATCCGTAGGACCCTTCAACTTCAGTACTCATTTACACGAGAACAAAATGAGTGCACAGTGGGAATTAAATGCTCCCGGTCAGGATGGCAGCTTGTACTTGCCCCATATAAAACATCATTATTATGATAAGGGCTATTTCTCAGTCATTCATTCTCAGCTGTTCAAACTCAGAAGAAAAAAATCTTAATATACAGCAACATAAGCAAAACATGACTTCATAAAGTTGTTCTACCCATATTGTCATCTTTACTCATGTTTATTTCAGTGACCTGAGAGCAAGGTATACTCTAGGTTAGTAGAGTGACAAAATCCAGCCCATACAAATTAAGACACTTGTTGATTAACAGCAAGTGTTTGAATTTTTTTTCCTGTTGAATTTGAACAAAACTATTTTGGTTAATCCTTTGCAGGACTGTGACCTTAACAAATAGGCTAATTGATGGTGCTCTGCAAATCAGAAACACTTTTAAATGCCATCCTGACAGCCCATGGTTCAGATTCCCAGCTGGAGTTCCTAGCTGATTGAAGAGGCGACAAAATTGAACAAATTCCTCTTAAATAGAATGCATGTTACAAAGTCATGTAGTCAGAAGTGAGAAAGTGCCAGGCCTCAGGTTGCACATACAACTTGGTTCAGTCCTCCTGTGCTTATGCATTAGGATACAATCTTTAATTATGTGATCACGTACTATTTTTATCACAGGACCTCTGCATCATTAGTGCAAATGATGTATGGAGTATAATGACTAGATAGCTATTTCATTCTTTTTACCTCCAGCTCTAGCATGTAAATGAAATGTTGGCTAGCTATCTGTCTAGTCCATTTTCACATGGCCCGTAATGCTTCTGAATCAAGCTTCAGTGTGCTGCACCCTTTCTGTTATTAGGTTATCGAGGAGTGCCAAGCGAGCATCTGCTAAGCGATATTCCAGAAGACTCCGAAGCAAAGAGAACCTGGAAATAACCAGGGCTATGCAAGAGGTCATCCCACTTCGACGGGTAACAAGATCCCGGGCAGTGGTATCTGATGCACGCTCTGTGGCACCTCCTCAGAAGTCAGCTGTCGAGCCAGTGGATGGGAGGGTCCCCTTTGTAAATATCAGTGTCAATGATCGCAACAGTGCTGAGTTATGTTTAAAGAGAAATTCACCTGAGACAGAGGCCAGGATCTCCAAGGTCATTGTCTTGAGTTCAGATGATGACTCTCCCAAGAAAGCTGGGACAGTAAAACTGCAGCCTGCCCCTGCACCCTCTGTGCTGTTGATTCCCGAAACCACTGAGCCAAAAGGGTCAAAAGAGGGCCGAAGTGCATCTAAATTAAAAATAGCAAATACAGCCATTACCAAAGCCATTGTAAATAGGGAGCCTGCCACTGAGGAAATGGATATCTCTGCACAGAAGCCAGAGGACAACCAAGAGTCAGTAAAGGAGCCTTCCCAGGATTTAAAGGACGGCACCCACACCCCAACTGGCTCCAAATCAAACCGTCACTCTGTTCGTCGAAGTTTGATGTGCAGAACCTCCATGAGCCACCAGACCTCATTGGCAGAGAAGTTCTCACTGGCCAGCAAAAGGGAAAGCATGATCCGGAAGTCAGTCAGCAGGGCTAGGTCCAAAAGGATTGCAGCTCGTCAGTCATCTCTAGCCTCCAGCCATGCAAACTGTAAGTTTTTTTCAGGCTTACAAAGCAATTCTGTTTTGCTCCATTCCCAGGTTCTCTGCCTGTTGTTCAGCATTGGAAGGCTGCAGTATTGAGCTGGATACAGCAAGTATCCTTGGGTTAGACAAATTTCAATTAAATGTCAGTTTATTTAAACTGGCTTGCTAAAAAGAAATACCAGCTCTAGAGAAACTCACTGAACTGTGACTCCTGTAGTGCAGTGTTGACTTCACAAAAGCCAGCATCTCTAGCTGGTAACTGGCCACCTAAATATTCATGATCAATGTAGGTAGTGAGAATGTGATTTATGAAACCAGAGTTCCGACATACATTCCTCTTGAGTCTTGTGGATTCTTTGCAAAGTCCAGTGGGTTTTTTTTTTTTTTTTTTTTTTAAACAATGATTCTCCTTTTTAAACTTGCTGCCAGTTAAGGCCTGCACCTTCCCCCTGGAACCACAGTAGCTACTTTTGTAACACAGACTCATAAACAGAAAGTGGCAAGTGGTTTGAGGACTGCCATTTTCTAAGAGGGCAAAGAGGGGCCAGGGCTTTCAAAACCTAGTATGAGTAGAAAAGGTGTGTGTGTGTGTGTGTGTGTGTGTGTGTGTGTGTGTGTGTGTGTGTGTGTGTAAGCTTTCAAAACCTAGTATGAGTAGAAAAGTACTCCGTGTGTGTGTGTGTGTGTGTGTGTGTGTGTGTGTGTGTGTGTGTGTGTAAAACTTGAAACGGGGGTTTGTTTTGTGGGGGAATAATTAGATTTTAAAGATCTTTTTTTGCCATGTTGGGGAAGCAAACATTGTTTTAGTGCAGAAGTTTCACTTTCTGGTTCAGACAGCTTTCCCTCTGTTATGGGGGCTAAATGAAATGCAAAAAGTAAACAGACAGCAGGTGAGTGAGTATGAAACTTCCATTTGTAAACTC